GCATGGGGGTTGGGAATGAGGGATGACAAGGGAACCTCGAAGGCTGAGAACCAGTGCTGGGCAACATGGGAGCGGGGCAAGGAGGCAAAGGCTCCCTGGGACTCTTGCCTGATTGTTTGTCTTCTAAACCGCGAGGGAAGGCAGGCTACACCAGCGCCGTGGGAGAAGCCTTGCGCTCACCTTGGCCTCTTGCACCGCCTCGTCAAGGGGCAGCACTGCATGTGCACGGTGCTCGCGGGCACGGTCGCACACCACGCAAATGGCACGTCCATCGTCCTGGCAGTAGAGCTTGAGAGGCTCCCCGTGCTGTGTACATCGGACAGCCAAGGCCGAGGCCGCAGCCTCCGGAGGGGCTCGCTTGTTGAAGGCGGCCGCCGGCAGGCTGAAGCGCCGGAGCAGCGTGGCGACTGCGGCCAGCTGCCGGTTGGGGCGCAGCTGGCTGGGGCGTGAGGGCTCGCGGCACTGAGGGCAGGGCAGTGGGCAGGGCGGCGCCCGGGTTCCGGCCGTGGGCCCTGCTCCCGGATGCTCCCAGCAGCGCGCTATGCAGCTGCGGCAGAAGCTGTGGCCACACTCGACGGACACCGGCTCCCGGAAGAGCTCTAAGCAGATGGAGCACGTCGCCTCGCCCTGCAGCTCTGCGGCCAGCGCCAGGGCCTCAGCCGCCGCACCCGGGCCAGTCCGCGGCCCTACTGCCGCCATGGGCGCCCTCGGCGCTCTCCGAGCGGCTCCGGGGAGACCTTGGACTCTGCAGCACACGGCTCGCAGCCGGACGGCCCGGGCAGGGATCCGAACGCCACAGGGAGAGGAAGGGCGGGGCTGACCCTGAAGTGGGCTGAGGAGCCCCGGCTGGGAGGTGCCGGGAGCAAAGGGCTGGCGGGGAGGGCTGGCTTAACTACCCCGGCCGTCCCAATTCCGGACAGCGCCCCCACGCCTACGCTTCGAGCTCCCTCAGCCCGCACCTAGGCTGGCGGGCTCCCTGCTGTAGCCCCTCTCCCTTAGCCCCGGCAGGGCGCCCCAGCCTGACCTGGTCAGCAGCGGAAAACGGGCCGCGACAGGTGGGCGCTGAGGCCCAGCAGGGCGCCACTCCCAACTGCCTACCAAGGCCGCCCTGGCACCGTAGGGCAAGGGCCTGGCGCCCCGGCCGCGGCGTCAGGTTCCTGAGCTCTAGTTCATTCTGGCCCTGTGCGGAGCTAAACTTAGGGTCTGGAACCCAGCCCTGGCCCCAAGTATGCCCTTGTATCCACCTCTGTAACTATTTCCCTGCAGCTGTTCTCCCCTTTTCGCTTCATTTAATTTTTGAAGAAGTATGACATTCAATCAGCTTCCTCACTCTTCAGTAGTATGCCTCTGCTCTCAAGCCCAGCCCCTTCCTTTGCCTCTAGCTAGTCTCCGCAGTTCCTGTCCGTACCCTCCGGTACTTACTCCTGCTAAACGGCTTTGGAGTCCAGCCTTCTCTCCTTCCTTCCTTGGTGGTGCAGACCTCACCTGGCTTGTCTTCCGATGCTCCCTCTTTCCTGACAGCTTCTCAGCACTTTCTAGACCACTACTTTCCTCTGACTTTTCTCCCGTGTCTGTGGCCGCCTACTTTCTTCTTGGCCTCAATGTGCTTTCCTTTTCTTCTCCCGGTGCTTATTCGGTACTTGGGCCTCTGTCTACACTTACTCGTTTGTGACATCTTCCACTTTCCTGGCTTAAAAGACCCTCCCCTGGCTGATGACTCCACAACGTTCAGTAAAAGTCATAGTCTCCATTCTTCGTCCCTAACTCTCATGTCTGCACATCGCTGTTTTCACTCTTCTTTCTCTCTGCTGTTAATTACTTCCCAGTCATCTGGACCTCCTTGATATGCCTACACTACATCAGAAAGATTTCTACCTCATGGAACACTGGTTGTTCCCTTTGTCCTATTTTCTCCCAGGTACCTGTGCAGCTCACTTTCCACCTGTCTCCAATTTTGTTTCAGTTGTCACCTCGTCTGTGAAGCCTACCTTGACCACACATTGCTTATGTACCAACTCCGCACAATGAATGTAATCATTGTCTGCAAACATGTACTAATAAAAATTAAAATTAAAGAAAAAAGTATCATTTAACAGGTTCCCTGCCACACATGATGACACACTCCTGTAATCCCACCACTTGGGAGGCTGAGGCAGGAGGATTACTGCAAATTGGAGGCCAGCCTGGACTACATAATGAGTTCAAAGACAGCCTGAACTACATAGTGAGACCCTGTTTCAAAAAATCAACAAGCAGGGCTGGGGATTTAGCTCAGTGGTGCTGCCACCTACCTTGCAAGCACAAGGTCCTGAGTTTGATCCCTGGTGCCAAAAAAAAAAAAAAAAAAAGATCAACAAACAGAACAAAATTTAATAACCCTGCAAGCTTCCTTCCTCGTCGTTGTTTTCTTTTCTAGTACTTTATCTCCTGTAGAATGTGAGTCTAAAGAGGATAGACTGTATTGTTTGTTCACAGCTCAGTTTCCAGAGCAGTGAACAGATTAAACGTGGTTCAAAATTTAGAAGCTAAATAGCGGAACATTTTCACACCTGTGCCCTTCATTCTCTCTCCATCTCAAGTAATTATTTTTACTATTCTGTGTTACTTTATTTAAATATTCTACATTTTAGAATCCTTTAAAAAAATTAAACGTAGAATACTATACACAGTCTTTATTACTTCCCTTTCACGGGATTCAGTTCATTTTGGGCATGGTGCCTGAACATTTCCTATCCTTCTGCCACAGCAGTTTCTGGGTTCTTATTCAGGTTCCTTCTGAATTCCAGGTCACCTAGGTCAAGATTTCCTTATAGAGTAAGAGGAGCCTGGAACAGCTCGAAGATTTGCAGACTCATCTCCTGTTAACCCGATCCTCCCTCCCTGAAGGAACCTTGCACCCAGTAATGCCTAAGAAGATAATGAGAGGGGTATTTGTAGCACGTGGGGATGTAGCTCAGTGGTAGAGCGCATGCTTTGCATGTATGAGGCCCCGGGTTCGATCCCCGGCATCTCCAGTTGCTTTTTGAGCATTTCACTTTTGTTACGTTGCCTTCCATGTTTGGAAATCTACTGTATTAGCCGAGTGCTTGAGAAAACACCGGAAAGTGGAATCTGCGCAGGTTAGAAAGAATGCACAGGAGCTCCCATCCTACCTCTAAGCCCCAGGTATTGTTTTTTTCTCCTGATCAAAGATCCAAACAGCTCAAGGGCTCCACTGACATCTTGATGCATGTGTGTTTGCTTCTCAGCTGCAGAAGCTTCACTGCCGGGAAAAAGACCAGGTCGCTGGTAGAAAAGAATAAACAGAAAAAGGAGAAAGTGCGAGGTGCTGTCTAGCAGAGCTAGAGTTTTCTAGGTTATTAAGGCACTTTAATCTGCTAAATTTCAATCAAGTAGAATTTCAAATCTGGCTAACAGCCCAAAAGAAATCTTGAGGGAAATTTTAGCAAACAGAACTTAATAGTTGCCTGGCTAGCTCAGTTGGTAGAGCATGAGACTCTTAATCTCAGGGTTGTGGGTTTGAGCCCTATGTTGGGCAAGATAATTTTTTTTAACTTCAAACTGTAAAATTAGTCACACACTGATGGGAAAACGAACTACCTGTGAAAGCTGAGATAAGCAATAATCACGTGGCCATTTCCTGAGCGTACTATTATGGAAAGATGACTGTTTTGTTGTAGTAAAATATGGATCAAAAATCGACTATTTTAACTCCCCTTCTCCTTTGTTTTTGTTTTTGGCAAATCAAAGCCTTGTACATGCTAAGTAAGCAGTCTATCTACCATTCCCTACTCCCTCAGCTCTTATTTTAATTTTTTTCTTTTTTGGGGGGGGGTACTGGGGATCAAACTTGGGTCCTTGTGTCTGCA